CTCCCTGTTGTCCAGGGGGTTGGAGTGCCCAGAGATCCCCAGATTCCCTGCCTCTGTGCTAAGTGTCCTGTCCTGCCCCTTTAAGACTTCCAAAAAGCACTTTCCAAACCAACACAACAGCAACAACGAAAGAGAAAAAAAAATTTAAATAGATAATTAAGAAAAAGAAAGGGAAAAACGCACGATTTTCTTTGTTCTCAGGTGCCGGTCTCAGGCACCTGCTCACCGGTCTTGCTGCCCTGTTTCCGTATTATTGGGGTACCTGTCCCTTTAAGGCTTCCAAAAAGCACTCGCCAAAAAAAGAGAGAAAAAAGAAACTGCTCCTGTTTCTTTGTCCTCTGGCATCGGCCTCAAGCACCCGCTCACCGGTCCTGCCACCGGGAGCTGGGGGGAGGGGAGCTTGGGTCCCGCCGGGCCAAGGCTTGTATCTTAATGCCTTCACGAGGCGCTGGGTTCTTGCAGGTGTGGATGTGGTCTGGATGTTGTCCTGTGTCCGCTGGTCTCTATTTTAGGAAGAGTTGTCATATATTTTGATAGATATATGTGGTTTTGGGAGGAGATTTCCGCTGCTCTACTCATGCCGCCATCCTGGCTCTGCCTCCCCTTGCATTTTATTTTAGGGGCCTAAATATGTGGCGACTATGATATGGGAACAAGAAGAAATAGTCATAATAGGACAGAGCCAGACTTGGGCAGTTGTGTCCAGAAAGGTCTCCCTGCTTTCTCCCTGCTATCCATCCATTACTCTGCCTACTGGGTGACCTTTCAAACATAGTTTGTGTTAGATGGCCCTCTGCTTCAAAACCTTCAGTGCACCCACTACTATGAAGATCTGCTCTGAAGTCCTACAGTCTTCATCAAGAGCTTTAACTTTCTGGCCTCTGCCTCCTCTCCAGCCATCATCTCTGCCCCAGCCAGTCTGTCTGTTTATAGCCATAGCCCTGATAGGTCTGTGCCTGTCCCCTGGTGGAGACCTGGGCCCCTGTCAAGACCAAGTTCAAATATCATTTGTTCTATGGAAGCTCTCCCAACCCTTTCTACACGGAACTCTCTCTTCCTCTGTGGCTGCAGTGTACTGTGCAACTACTTCTATCCTGGGGCCCAGGATACTTGATTTGTTACTTTTGTTTAAATGTTTGTCGCCTCCACGGCACTGTAGGCTAACTGAAAGAAGCAAGGAGCTTGTCTTTTTCGTTTTTATAGCCCTGGAGTGCAACACACTGCATAGACAGATTAGACATTTAATAAATATTTGTTAAACAAAGTAAAGGGAAAAAATCCCAACTCCATGTCAGCAGGCTCTGATTTTGTGAGAAGACCTGGTTTCCAAATTTATACGAGATACATCCACAGCTAGTTTAAAAGATGTAGGATTGTCATTGGCATTTTTTTCCCTTTTAACATTTCCACTGCATGATTTAAAGAAATGGCATGTGTGGTCTTTAGATTCAAGATGGTGGTGTGAGAGGTGAGACAGAGAACTCCTCCCAAAACCACCGACAGTACAAAAATATAATTAATCCAATGAACCCTAAAAAAGCAACAGGAAAGAAGGCTGCACCAGACTGCATACAGACCTCACAAACAGCAGACTTCAAGAAACAGGGTAATGTACTAAAGCCTTGATCCGGCGGGACCCAGGCCCTTCCCCCACCCCAGCTCATGGGCAGGAGGAAGAGAGAGCTGGGAGTGTGTGGAAGCCTGGGACTGCTGAACACCTAACCCTGGAGCTCTGCTTTGCAAGCAGAAACCTACATTGTTTGGTGCTCTGGAGGACGGGGAGCTGGGACAGGCAGAGTGCTTGAGAGACAGATTCTGGCCATTGTGGAGGACAGGCTCCACACCCAGCCACTCTGGGATAAAGGAAATGCAGGCGGTTTGGGCTGCTAAAGGGGTGGGGTTTGCATGGAGCTTGCTGCGCGGGAGAAAGGATAGGAGGACAAGGTTGTCTGGGTGTGCTCTGCCCAGCAGATTGGGAACTTTGAGGAGCTTCAGGTGCTCCATCCCCTTGGCTGACTACTCAGCTCCGAGGCCCCCCATTGTGATACATGCAGCCTGCTGTGCCTTCCTCCTGGCTTGATGGCACCAGCTCACAAACTGGAAATCACTGCACTGACATCAGGCCAGTCAGAGGGAGGCCCTGCCTACAACAGCTAGAGACACAAAGCACAGAGGCCTACACCTGTGCGCTCAGCCCACTGGCTCTGATAATGGAGACAGGCACCACAGACAGGAATCAGGAAACAGTTCCTTTCTCCTCCCAGGTACCAGCTCCGTTCCCTTACAACACCCAACCTCACTCTACTGGCTGAGCAGCTCCAGAGACTGGAGCTTCTGGGCACTAGTGGGCACCACACAGAAATATATAATGTCAAAAAGAACATGGTTCAGACCAAAATCTCACAAACCCCAGAAAAAGGGTCAAATGAAACTGAACTCACCAATCTGCCTGAAAGAGAGTTCAAAATAAAAGTCATAAACATCTTTATGGAGGTACAGGAAAATATTCAAGAACTCAGAAACAAACTTAAGATGGAGATTCAATCATTAAGAAATTCTATATCTGAAATGAAACATACAATGGAGGGATTTAAAAGCAGATTAGATGTAGTAGAAGAGACAGTAAATGGAATAGAAACTAGAGAAGAGGAATACAAAGAAGCTGAGGCACAGGGAGAAAAAGAATCTCTAAGAACGAAATATTGAGAGAACTGTGTGACCAATCCAAACGGAACAATATTTGACTTATAGGGATACCAGAAGAAGAAGAGAGAGAAAAGGGATAGAAAGTGTCATTGAGAAGGTAATTGATGAAAACTTTCCCAATCTGGGGAAGGAGATATTCTCTTAGGCCATGGAGATGCAAAGATGTCCCAACACAAGGGACCCAAGGAAGACAACATCAAGACATATAATAATTAAAATGGCAAAGATCAAGGATAAAGACAGACTTTTAAAAGCAGCTAAAGGGAGGAAAAAGATCATGTACAAAGGAAAACCTATCAGGATATCATCAGATTTCTCAGCAGAAACCTTACAGGCCAGAAGGGGGTGGCATGATATATTTAATGCAATGAAGCAGAAGGGCCTTGAACCAAGAATACACTACCCAGCCAAGTTATCATTTAAGTTTGAAGGAGGGATTAAACAATTTTCAGATAAGGAAAAGCTGAGAGAATTTACCTCCCACAAACCACCTCTACAGTGAGTTTTGGAGGGACTCCCATAGATGGAAGTATTCCTAAGGCTACATAGATGTCACCCAAGGGATAGACAAAAAGTGCAGTATATGACTCATAACATACAAAGAATGGAGGAGGAAGAAAAAGGGGGGAAAAAAAAGAATCTTTAGGTTGTGTTTGTAATAGCATATGAAGTGAGTTAAATTAGACTGTTAGTAAGGGAATACCCTAGAACCTTTGGTAACCATGAATCTGAAGTCTGCAATGGCAATAAGTACATACCTATGGATAATCACCCTAAATGCAAATGGTCTGAATGTACTAACCAAAAGATGTAGAGTCACTGAATGGATAAAAAAACAAGACCCAACTATATGCTGCCTACAGGAGACTCACTTCAAACCCGAAGACAAACACAGACTGAAAGTAAAGGGATGGAAAAAGATTTTTCATGCAACTAATATGGAGAAAAAAAGCAGGAGTTGCAGTACTTGTATCAGACAAAATACACTTCAAAACAAAGAAATTAACAAGAGACAAAGAAGGATATTACATAATGATAAAGGGATTGGTCCAACAAGAGGATATAATTATTATAAATATCTATGCACCCAACACAGGATCACCTACATATGTGAAACAAATACTAACAGAATTAAAGAGGGAAATAGAATGCAATGCATTCATTTTAGGAAAATTCAACCCACCACTCACTACAAAGGCCAGATCAACCAGACAGAAAATAAATAAATAGACAGAGGCACTGAACAATGTAGTAGAACAGATGGACCTAATGGACATCTATAGGACACTCCATCCAAAAGCAACAGGATACACATGCTTCTCAAGTGCACATGGAACATTTTCAAGAATAGATCATATACTAGGCCACAAAAGAGCCCCGGTAAATTCCAAAAGATTGAAATTGTACCAACCAGTTTCTCAGACCACAAAGATATGAATCTAGAAATAAATTACACAAAGGAAATGAAAAAGCCCACAAACCATGGAGGCTTAGTAACATGCTCCTAAATAATGGATCAATGACCAAATAAAAACAGATATCAAGCAAAATATGGAGACAAATGACAACAATAAAAGATCCATACAGAAGTAAGATTTTAAAAATCATTACTGTGTTGCACAGAGCAATTGCTCCAGAAATACCACTGATTGGAATTTCCGACAGGTTTCCACACTTACTTTCTGGTCCTGGGTTCAGGCCCATGCATACCTGGTGCTGTTAAAAGGACAGTCCAAGAGTGGTTGATAAAGAAACAGGGGAGAATATTTGGAATTCAAAACATCTCACATCATTCTACATGAATTAGCTGAGGCACATATCCAAATACCCCTGAGAAATAGGTACAATCATTTCCAGTTTGGGGAAAGGAGTTGGGTAATGAGAACCTCCAGTAACTCATTTAGAAGGCCACTGGAGTTCATGAACCAAGACTGGGACAGAGGGAAGAGCTGTCCTGTGACTTACTCCAGCTCTAGGTCTTAAGCTGGCAGCTAAAATCCCACCTGGCTGATACAGAGGACCTCCAAATCAGGCTCTGTGGGGTGGGGGTGGGGACCAGGTCTGCACTCTGCAGTGTGCTGTGACATTGTAGATCCTTTGTTTTTTACAGCTCACTTTACTTCGTATCAGTCCCCACACTAGGGCAGGTTTCAAAGCAAGAGGATTTTTTATGATGTCATTAGCTTGTGGCTCTGGATACTGCACAGAGATTTTCTTCTATGACAGGTAAAATATTTCAACAATTAATGGTGGAAAGGAAATGACTATATGTTGAAAGACGAGGGTGAAACTACTTAAGAAATTAAAACAAAATGATCATTTATTGTTTTTAATATGTAGTCAAATATGACAGCAGTATTACACAAATTGCTCCCTTCTTCCCTTCTATACCCCAATTTTTCTGACTTCACTTGAAAGTGGAAAACACATGATTTAATTCTGAAAATAACAATCAACAGATAGAACACAAATAACATTGGGTCGCCACCAGCTTCCAGACCTTTAGAGATGAATTGTGTCACTATGGCAGTCAACACACTGGCTTTCTTACAAAATTATTACTAGGGAAAAAAAATAAAGATTTCCCACATACTGTAAGCAGAACCAGAAGGATTGCAGAAAAACTGGATTTAAGAAGCTGTGTGCAGAAAACATTAAGGAGTTATTGCGATCATAATGATCTCCAGGTGAAAGATAGGTGGCAAATTAATGGCTGTAAGGGAAATACATTCAAACTTAGCTAATTAATCTTACAGTGAAAATAATCACAAAGCTTGCAGGAGTATATAGCATCTGAATTACTGAAATTAATGGATTTCAATAAAGGACACACCTCTTCTGCTATCAGACACCATTAGTGCAAATCCATTTACAATCCTATTTACATTTGCAGGTTCAGGTAAATCAAGCATGAGGTCACCATGGAGTATGAGGACGTTATTCTATCATGAAAGAACGTGGCCTTGGAATGTTTCATTGATATGGCAAAGGAAATAGGAATGATGGCCAGAGGACTGGAATGAATTCAGAAAGCTTAGTTTTCCAAGCACTGTTTTAAATGGAGTTTTGGAAAACTTCTGCAGAAGTAACCTTCACCTGGACGGCACATCCTCCATCTGACTCACAGGGCTTTGGAAAACAGTGAGAAACAAACACAGTGTGCTCTGCTCACCCCTCTGGCTGGCCCATTGATTGGGGCTGACCGGGTTTAGAGGGTCACATTTTCCTCCACTGTTCTCTTTAGGAGCACCACAGTGAGCTCTGTGATTCTGACAAAGGGTACAATTATACCCACTTCGAAATGCATTTACAAATATTCTGTGAGCTGGTGCAACTGGCATAAAACACAGACAGCCCCCGGGGTGCCCGATTTCTTCTCCTTTCACACTTCGACATTTCAAATGACTACAAGCAGAATTACCAGAAACAGTAGTAAATTCCTGGCATTGGAAGTTCCCATGATCCCAGCTGGCATGCAAAAAAGGCTGTCTCTTTTTTCCCCCTGAAAATAATGTACTTCCCAGGCACTGTCCAAATGCCTCAAATGAGACAAATGAGAGATTTGTTTTGACCAACCTATGAAAAGACTTTTTCCTTCTCAGCTAGGGCTCTGAGATTTGATTACAATATATACAAGATGTCTGTGTCTAAAGAAACTTAATTCACTTCCTTAAAATTTTAACATTTTTTAGCAAGGGAAGCTCTGATTTCACTTGATGGTGTTTTCAGAGTAGCTTGGTGGAGGACACTTAACTGAGTTTTTATTTCCCTGCTATAAATATGACAGTCTGAGTATGTGTTTGCTCAAACCACCTTTACAATGGTTGCTTAGACTTGATCACAATGTCTGGACACTAGCACTTGAGTCCACGTCCTGAGACAAACTTCCCAGACATCCAGCTATGGGCCCACAACTCAAAGGTGCCCTTTCTTTTCTTGTCTTCAGGAAAATGCTTTTCATTTTTAATATACTTTATTGCCTGTGTGGGGTCATCTGTCTCATGGTCCCTGGTATAAGGAAACCAAGGACATGCCTTGTGAACCAGAGGGAGATGAACAGAGTCTCATGCTGCTCATTACCTGACCAAAAGTAACCCAGTTCCAGAGAGCAAGGAACTGTGATTTTAGTAAGGATTGGTGCCCTAGGAGAGGTACAGGTGAACGCTGGCTGAGTTTTAGGTTAACTGGGGACATCCTTTACGTTCTGTGTGTCACATGTTTATTAGCATGACTTACAGGCTCTGTGCCTCAGTGTCTGAATGTCTGAATGACCTAAATTTGAGCTGATCCTCATTGAATATTTATTTGCACACTACTCTGAAGAGGTTGAAAAATCTGCATATTTTGATCTTGATTTTTTCCATGAACCATCTCCATCCACCCACTTCTATGTGCTCTCACCACAGCAAACTTCTAAACTTAGTTTCAAGCATTGAATCTGTCCAATAGGCAGAAAAGGTTTGTAGCTACATGATCAGTAAGTGATACTTTGGACGTCAATATGTGTTTTTCGTAGTGCTAGGGAAAAGAGAGACTGTTTTTAAAAATCAACACTCTAGCGGGGAAGGAGAGAAGTCACTGAGATTTTTCAACCAGAATGAAAATGAATATAACATTGTCTGCCAAGTTAAAATGTTTTTGCTTTACTCCATTAGTAGAGCTTTTTTTTTTTAGTAATTCTCAAATATTAGGATGTTTTAGAAATTAGAAAAATGAGTACCAGCATACAATTTGCATTAATTTTGTCCAGCCTTTTATTCTGGATTTAAAGCAAGATAGTATTTCAGAATCAGAGTGATCTAGAAATTCACTTATAATAAATTTTGAGCATTTTATTTTTCCAGACATTTGGGCATTCAAAATAAATGTATTATTTAGAAACCAATGATGATGTCGTTTATAAACTTGTTATGGAGATAGATTTAAGAAATTATGTAATTCTACTTGAGTAAGTATCATCTTACTTCTTTCTGAAAGCACTGGGCACTTGATGGTTTCAGTTATATCAGACATAATTAGCCAGATGTGTTATAATTTAAGTTGAAATTAGAAGATCAACTTAGTCAAAACGTCAAAGAAATACCATATTGTCTGACGTAACAATTGCAGTATAGAAAATTATATACACACTTGATGATCCCCTAGGTTACAGTTTTCTGATTTCCATGATTGTCGTATGAGAGCTCATGCTGGGTGTGCTTGTCAATATTCTATCGTCAGATTTGTAATCAAGCTTTCTAGTTGTGTACCCACAGTAGCAAATTGTAGTAAATAATTATGAATGCTTTCAATGTCTGGGCTGGTCTGTTAGCAAAGGAATAAAGGAAGGCCTGATATTCCAGTTGGGGATTTGTTATTTCTAGGAATATTCTTAAGAGATTGTCTGTTTAACATCACCAAGTTTTCCAAGTGGTGCAAACTAGATACAGTACAAACTGACCTGGTTCAGTTACCCATAGGAAATCAATGACCCTACAGGAAAACTGATATAAGGCACATCAAATCAGTAAAACTTTGGCTTGACAGATTTAAATATTCCAACAATGAAATTTCCAACTTTTGATTACTTGGGACAGCCAAGTGGGTTTTTTTCCCTCAAAGAGGGACAATAAAAAATGAATACCAGAAAGAGAAAGCTCATCCAGACATACTTAAAATTAGATGTACCAAACTCCAACTTTGATGCATATTTTGAAGGCAAAAGTGAAGGAACAAGATTTGCAGATGTCTGAAATGACCAAGAGAAAACAAACTCAAAGTCTGAAGCAGTGAAGTTGTATGACTGCGAGCGCCCACACAGAAGCGAACTCACAGCAGCGGCTGCTACAGTGCAAAGGACACCAAATAGCTTTTTCTGTCTAGCTGTAAGTTAATTCCCAGGGTTGCAGAGATGACCAATCTTCAGATCTTTAATCTGTGAAACTAATGGGGAAATAGGTAAGGACGATGTTGGGTTGTGGTTGAACTAGTGCCTTCAATGGTGCCTTCTAACTCGAGTTTATGATTCCACAGCTTATTGTGAATATAAACCTCTCTATGGTGAAGATTAAGGGCAAGAGACAGAGAAATGTTTCTCTTTTTTTTCTCCTGATATATTTTGCTCACTAGATAATCCAGTAGTTTTTATATTCCCACCCCAGGGGACATTTGGCAATGCCTGGAGCCATCTTTAGTTGCCACAGCTGGTGCGTATGTGTGGTGCGTATGCACTAATGTCACTTGGTCAATACAAGCCCTGGAAGCTGCCAAATGCCCTACAAAGCACAGAACTATGCCCCCCAACACCCACTTCCCTTGCACAAAGAATTACGGAGCCCAAAATGTCGATAGTGCTGAGGCTGAGGAAACCTGAGACAGTCTAGTGAATAACATAAACACTCATGCATACCTAAAGTGCAAATGCTTCTTTGATACACTGGTGTTGCTGGAATACCTTAAAACTATGATGTTGGTAATTCAAACAGTCACATCAGAAATACTGGAGCAAGAAGGTAAACTATTATATTTGGTCAGAAAGAATTCAAGTGACCTGGAAAGCCCTCCTGGGTCTGGGACAACTTTGGATGGGTAACTTTCCTTCTCATAAATGGAATTAATAGATCATTTGTAATAGAGCAAATAGTACAGATGTGCAATGAGGTATCATTTTTCAGATACATCCTTCAGGCAAATATTTGATAGTTCCTTATCTAAGTAGAATAGAAACTAGGAATTGGGAATTAGATAGAGTGATATTGATCCTACCTACTTGCAAGGTTGTGCTTGAGGATCTTTTTACTTTACAGTTAACAGTTGACATGCCTGATTTCTCACTATTTGCATATATTTCTATGTGTCACAAGATCTAGCATAGGAACTGGGTTCCAGTAGGTGCTCAGTAGTATTAAGTGAACCAAGCAGTTGAGCGACTGAACACATAAAGGGATGAATCAAAGTGCTCTATAAAACGTAAAGTGCTTTACAAAACAAGGTAGTGTGAATATATAATAGTGAATGCCACAGGTCTCATAATACTTGCTCAGAAAACCTTCTTAGGGAAAAAATGTTCAAATCATTTAAAAAGAAAATAAAAATTGTGATCACACACGCTGTAGGAAAATATGCCATGAAGATTATTAGTTTTCAGGTACATTTGGGAAGAAATGAAACAAAGGCAGAACAATTTTAAATGATGAAGGTAACTAGTATTGTTAACTTAGATGGCCCCAGGTGGGGTGAGGAAAGGGACATACAAAACCAAATCAAGTATTAGCTACAACTGGAATCATTAGTTGTTATAAAAATGGCACCATTCTTAAGAAGGCATCATAATAGAGCAAGATTGGTCCAATGCTCCAGATTATTGGACTGAGCAGATAGTTGATACAGCAGATAAAGTCAGCCTTTAGATGGACTGTGCCTCCTAAATTGCTTGGTTGGCCTTTATGGTTAATGAAGGAGTGCAAGCAAGGAGAGTTGGAACAAAAAAAAATTACCAGTTAGGAGTTTAAAGTTCAAGACCCAGTTCTGACACTGGCAAAATTACTACATCTCTCTGGACCTCTTATTTTCTGATCTGCAAAATGAAGAGGTTGGGTGAGATGGCCTCCCATGATCCTGGTGCACGGATGCCGATGCCAAAGGGTGCGGGTGGTTAAGTAAAAGCAAGAGCAGTCTTTGGGAACTAGTAAGCCTGTTGTAATAAAATAGAAAAGTGCCTGAAGACATACAATACCAGATTACATTTCACAGGAGGAAGAACCATAATCACAGGATCTATTGTTCAGTTAGTCTGATTTAAATAATAATTTCTTATCATGGAATGGATTCTAGCAAAACTTTTTCTCAAATGGCAATAGCTGCCAGGGCATTACCAAATTTATATTCCCCCCGAAGAGGAAATAACTTAAGAATTTTTTCTCCACACCTAGTAAATTATACTAATCTGAGAATATATATTATCTGAATATTAGTATAATTTAAAGTGATTGAACTCCTTTTACATTGGTTACATTTGCAAATTTTTACATTTGAAATTAAATTCCACATATTTTAATACTTGAATGTGACAGCTCCTTACATTTGTGTTACAGGGATAAAATAAATAGCGAAAATTATTTGTGTTTGATGTATTTCCTTCTAAAGAGAAGCCTGCTGGACAGATCCTGGGCCTTCCTTTGCTGTGAAGAGTAAACTAGGCAATCCACAGAAACTACATAATAAAGAACTAAGCCTACATAATTAAAAACTAAGCGATTTGAAGAATGCACACAAGGGACTTTGTCATGAGAGGAGAGACAGCTGGAACAGATGTCACATAGAGGAAATGGTAAGATGGGAAAAAAGGAATTTAAGCAATTTTGCTGTGAGTTTTGAATGTATTCTCCTTTGGCATTTTCTCAAGAAATGTATTGATTTGATAGTTTTTGAATGCTTTTAGGATTGATGGACTCTTCTTCCTCTGAATGAAAATTTGTGCTGGTACTGGTCCTGTAGATGTGCTTTATATGGGTTCCACTGACATAAGTTTCTAAGTCTGCACAATTGTACACATAGTCAATCTGAATAATAATCTTTAAGGAAGACAGGACAAAACCATTTTTATATTCTCAAATTGTAATGTGGATAGGTGGGGGTGAAAGTGAATTTCTGAAGACAGCATAGCGGAGACTCGAGGCTGTGTCTGCTGATACTGTTTTCATTACTCCATGCTGCCTCACTGAGATAAAAAACACATTGATATGCTCAAGAACTACCAAATCTTCTCTTTTTCTTCCTCCCCCTTTTGCTTGAAGAAGAGGGAATCAAAGGGAAAGACCTCTTCTGCACTGTGTAATAGTTCTCTGTGATGATGGGGATGTTCTGGGTTGTCCCAGATGGAAGCCCCAAGCTGCAGGTGGCTGTCTGCAATTGAAATGTGGCTTGTGTGACTGAAGAATTGAATTTTTATTTTTGTTTGGTTTTAATTAATATAAATTCAAATTTGGCTAATGGATATAATACTGCACAACACAGGTCTAGAACCTACATTTGAGAGAGATCAGAAAATGCCCTAGGTATCTCAAACTAAAATAATAATTGGGGGTGAGTTGTACTTTATTATTTATCTTTGGTTTCCTATTTGTCAGCATATCTTGAAGTCCAAACCTTTCATAAACAAACCACCTTTGTGGTCAATGCCATTTGTTGGCTTAAGATATTTTTCTTGACTTTTAATAGCTTTACCTAATCACTGAATATTATTTTTACAAATAATTAAGATGAAATAACTAACTTCCTCTGTAATATCACTTAGCTGATTTCTCTGTTATGTGTTCCTTTGCTATTCTTAATTTTTAAAATTGTTATGGTTATTCTCTATGTTCATAATATATTAAGTAATGCACAGATGTACCCTTTCTAATACATAATATATATAAAGTCCAAAACATCAGCATCTGCTCTGAATTTCCAGAAACTGTGTTTGCTCTTCTTTCGTAGTAAATGGATGCCAAGAACCAGAAGTATATAAAAGAATGAAAGTTTCATGAAAAAATGGATTCTGCCAGCCTTTCCCTTTCCCACTAAAAGATTCATAGACAATAGAAACTTCTTACCACCTTTAACTCCTACTTGTGTTAAAAAGTTTTCCCATAACTCAGCAGCCTTTTTACTTCCAAAATTTTTCTCATATTCCTCCAATGCTTTAGTTCACTGAACAGTGTTTTATGTTTTTTTACAGAATTGTCAATTCTTTTGAAGATGGAAGATGAGCTCTGAAGGGAATAAAGAAAACATTACTATTTCAAAGAACTGTGTAAGGAGTTGGACATATATGAGGGTTTACATACTGTCAATCAACAGCTAAAGCCATGCGTACAATAAAAGCTAGTGCAATGAGCACCACCTTATCCTAAAAGGAATCGTCCATGCGGTCCTTATGTCTGTAGAATACCAGTTGCACCAGTTACACTGGCAAGTCATTTGGTTATTGCTGTCTGACTAAACCTACTCCACAAGAAGTAGGTAGGGATATCTCATATAAACTGAATGTAGCTACAGCAGAGAGACTGTCATCACATCCTTCAACCACCTTTTCAATTTTTTGCAATTATTAACTAAGTGTGTTAGGAAAAAAATTATCAACCTCACCAGGTACTTAAAAATGTAAAAGCAAAATATACGTGATGAAAAATGGAATGAGTTTACATCAGACAAATGTGAAGAAAAAATAGAGTGCTCTGTTAGTGGACTGATGTCGTTTAGTGTAGACACTGTGTACAGATGCTGTTAGTAAAGTGCATGTATGAGACATCTCTGCTCCCTGGTACCTGAATCTGCAAATGGGGGACACTGTACCCTGCAAGAACAAGCAGCTTCTCAGCACATGATGTAAGTTTCATGGGTCAAGATGTTGATGAAGTTGTACACACAGTACCTGTATTTAAACCTTAGGAGCTCAGTATACATATTAACCACTTTCCTCCTGGAGAGAGGCCTTTTCTTTCTTTATTCTTGGGGAAGTTTTGAAATTGGATTGTGAGTACATGGCAGATGACAGATTCACATAAGGACCTTTCTGCATCTGCCTTATTTAGCCAGGGAAGGAAGGGGTTGATATGAACAAAAGTGGCTCACATAGGCAGGAAAGCAACTGGTGCTGCAACTAAGTGAGCCACTTTTGCTGAGTGACATAAAAAATATTCTAATATTAAGGATTATTTTACAACTCTATGGAAGTATGCAGCATTGCATCCTGCATTTGTTTTGTCTTGATGACAAAATGCACTCTCATAGTCACAAGAGCCTGCCTTGTGTTAGTTATAAACAAAAATATATTTATATATATATTTATGTAACTACTATGTGCTTTAAAGAAAATTACTGTATGATTCAGCAGAGTCCTTTCGTTCTTTTGATTGCCAGGGATATGCTGACTGAATGGCTTCTCAGACAGGAATTGACAATGATATGGGCCTTTAGTACTGAAATGGTCAGAAATTAAAGAAAAAAAAGACAGAAAAAACCCTCTTCTGTTTAGAATCCCTTAACATTTTTGCTTCAAAAATGATTAAGGAACTTTGTATAGTTCCCTTTTGTTTCCTTCAGCCAGGAGCAACTGTGGCTTCATAGGACTTCACAGTTGGGAAATGGAGGCAAAGCTTCTTAAAACAAATCATGTGTTTTATTCTGAGGTGGGAGAATCAAAAACCTCACTCGCCATTCCCTCTTTCTTAATCCTTAGCGCAAAGTTTGGTGATTCTATCACAGTTCAGGGAAAGGGCACTCATAAACCCAGAAGATGGAGGCATGGTTTGAACCTCCTGTACAGATAAAAGACCCATCCTGTAAAGTAAGAAACTTGCTGCAACAAGTGGATCTAGACCCAAAAAACAAAATCCTTTTGCCCCACATCTGATGAAAAGACAGAAAATCTCTTATTTTGTGTTTGCTTTTGCTCCTGCATGAGTTACTTTTCTTAGCAATCTTGAAACATTCATCATTGCTCTTTTGAGTGAAAGGGCTCAGGCTTTGAAACACAGTTATCTTTGAGACATCAGAGATAATATCTGAGCCAAAGGTAGTAGATCCCTTATGAACTAAAGCTTTATTTTTTTTTCTTGATCGCTGTGCAACCCTGCACCTAAGCCAACAGCGTTGTAATCTTGCCATACTTCTGATCAGTCCACAGGAGATGTTCGTAGTGAACTTTAGATGTCATTCCACTAGGGAATCCTATATTCAGTGGTAAGTGGTCTCTTGTATAAATCTAGTGTTTCTTTTACCCTTCCTGGGCTAGGGTTGTCCAGAAATCTTGTCTCCTTTGGGCTACAGCAGCTTAGGGCTCCTTTGTGTGTGTGTGTGTTTGTTTGTCTGAAAGGTATAGGCAAAATTTTAGTCTTAACACCTGTAAGCCAGCACTGGTGCTGTTCCGTTCTAGAAATTTTAGCACTGCTCTGATACAATAAAACCTTCTTTCTCTCCAACTGGTTCAACTTCTGCATAGGCAGGATGGCCAGAACCTCTTCGAAACTTCATTGCAGGCCATCTGCTTGGGCGTCTCTAAAACAGAAAATGCAAAAATAATGAACATCAGGGTGATGGTAATATCATAATAAAAAAATAGTTGCCAGATATTTCAGATTGACTTCTGAATTCGATTCAGTAACACATTAAATCATCTCTTATTATGGCACAGTTGGAATTTTATGGGCTCAAAGCCCCATGCTTTTGCAGCTCTGTTATGGCACTATAGGCACCTCTCGGGTGAGTTATTGCCATGCCTGCCCGCATAGGACTGAGAGGCACAGTTTATGCCTCATGCATACTTATGTCTAAAAGATTTTTTTAGTGTCCAGATATAACTAGGCAAAAAGGGACTGTAGTAAGAACCATGTCTTCTTAACATATAGCTATCAGACGCTTCCTCCTCTCTCTAAGTTAATAATATCACTTCATTTTATTTACTAGTTCACTCAAAAACATAAGGCCATGAAATTCTGCACAGTTTTTAAAAGTGGACTTCAATTTAGGTACCAGACTTCCTAGTAAATAAACTAAAAGAACAATCACTTAATATCTTAAGAAAGTATTATTAAACTGAGACTTTCGATCTGTAACTTTTTGTGCTTGAAAATTAACAAATGTCATGCCCCCAAACCACAGAGGGCGTGGGCGATCTGGAGCCTGTGCACATGTAGTCACTTGTCCTAAAATACAGGTTATTTGTGTTGGCAAAAGGAGAGCATTTCTCACCAGCACTTTGTCTATCAAACAAATCTGTGATTTACAAACAGAAGTGATGAAATGAATTAAATTACAGCAACAAGACACTAAAATGCATTTCACCGCCACAGTGACACTAGAAACTATTACTCCATTTATCAGAGTGACTGCAGTTTTGGAGTAAATAAGACAATAAATATTGAAGGAAGTTTATTTCTATCTGAAGAATTTTTATGTGAAAAGTGTTAAATACCAACTTAGTTATACTGGCATTTGGCAGCTTTCTAGATTTGCCATTGACGTTCCACCGTCAATGATTAATGGCTGTAGAAGAGTTTTCATACTAGGTAGGAATGTGTATTCACTCTATATTCTGGAAAAATACCAATCAAGGTAATTACATTCTGCCTATTAATAATATTATGTACTGTCTGTATACCATTATGTGGTTAGAATACTTTATATTTATTAGCTGATTAAGTCCCATGAAGTAAGTGAAACTGAATTATCCTTATTTTCCAAAAGAAGAAATTAAAAGTAAGAGAGGGCTAAATAGCAAAATAGTATGCTTATGTTGGAGCTAAAAATGTTCATCAATGGAAATATGCTAAGCATATGTAGGGAGATGGACAATGTCACTCATGGTCACTCCTGTTTGTGGGAAAAGGCCAGTATGCCATGCTCACTGCCTGTAACCCTGCCTCTGGTTTCAGTTACTTCACAGCTGGGCTTCTGGAGGCACACTTGGTCTACTCCTTCTCTGAGTCAAGCAGCACCATAAACCTTTGCTCTGAATCTCCACCTTTCCAAGGCCCACTTGACCTGGGTCCACCTGGCCAGTATAGCACTATGACCTCATACTGATTTACAACCCAGTATGTAAAGACACGATGACTATTCAAAAGAAGCACAGATTATGAACAAGAAGGCAAGAGACAACAGGAGCTGGTGAAGATGTGGTGAAAGGGAACCCTTATACACTGTTGGTGGGAATGTAAATTAGTCTAACCACTATGGAACACAACATGGAGGTTCTTCAAAAATTTAAAAATAGATTTACTATATGACCCAGCAATTCCACTACAGGGTATATACACAACGGAAATGAAAAGAGGAGTTTGATGACACATTTAGATTTCCATATTTATCACAGCATTATCACAATAGCTAAGACAGTGAAACAGATAACAAACAGATCAAATAGATAAAAAAGATGGATTATTCTTTGGAGTAATGGAATATTATTCAGCCATGAGAAAGGAGAAATGGACCTTGAGCACATTATGCTATGTGAGATATGTCAGAGACTAACAATACTGTATGATTTCACTTACATATAGAATCTAAAAGAGTCAAACCAGTAAAAAAAACTAAAAAAAAACTTAACTAAAATGATGGTTACCAGGGAATGGAGGTAAGGGGATAAGATTAATAGTTAAAAAGGGCACAAACTTGTAATGAGTATTAAGTAATCCATAGAGATCAAATATATAGTTTATTGAATATAGAGAATAATATTGTACAAATGTGATAAATATTGCAATGGCAACTATGTTACAATACATAAATGTTGCAAAGTAACACACTGTATACCTTAAATTTATACACTGCTACATGTCAAATTTATCCAATAAACAAAAATTTTTTAAATGAGGAAGAACACTGATGATGAGAATGTTGATGATGCTTGTGAAAGATAAATTTTACTAAGCTCTTAACTGTATTTCATGCTTTGTACTTTGTGATTTATATACATGATCTCATTTAACACAGCACAGACAACTCAATCACTTACAAAGTGCACAGACATGTATAGCTAGCAACTGGCAAAGCCAAGATTTAAAATGAGATCTATCTACTTCCAGGCTTAATTTTCCTAACTATACAAACTAGTTCTTCACAGTCAGTGGTTTGTGTATAACTCATCTGAAATTTGTGTATATGGTTCTATTTTTATTTCAGTCTTAAAAATATAACATCACCAATAACTTCAGTATCCTGTTAGTAAGTCAGAATTACTAAATTGATAAATCTGTCTTAGGTGAAAAGATGGTAGAATTATTGATAATGTTGATCATGTATTCTGTGAGCTCATCAAAGAGGTCCTCCAGAAAGTATGAAAATGCTGGACAGCAAAGCTTCCTTTGTTAACACAGTATAAACTTATTTTCTCAATTAATTACATATCCTTAAAGAAAATTTTTCTTGGTTTATTGTACTCATTGTAGAAAAAAAAGAAATTCCCCAACAAGATTTAACATCCCTAGAGTTCCTATCACTCACACACAATTTGGTTCAACTAAATTGAAGTATATCACTTACATGCATTTCTAGGAACATTAAATCATTGCACATACTGTTTTACAACCCCTTTTTTTCCACTTCAGCACACACTGAAAAAAATTATGAACTATTCTTCTACAAAATTATTTTAAATGTAGAATGCTACATACAACTCAATCATGATTTATATAGTTAATTTGGTTTTGAGGTTTTCCAAAGTTTTTGACAATATAAATAATGCTACAGTGAATATCTTTCCTGCTATCCTGATGAGAGTATCTCTGACTAGTTCCTTTTATAAAGTTTCAGAAGTGGAATTATTAGGCCCAAGAGAATGCACAAATTATTTACTAAACACTTGAAATGCCTAGTATGGTGCTAAATGCTATATTGAAGAGCATTTGACCAAAGGAAGGTATAGAACATAGTTTCCATTTGGGAGGGGAAAGGGATTTTCAATGTAGGTTGGAAAGGTGAGAAAGAGACAGTGAGCTAAGATATAATGTAGATTTCAAATAAATATTTTAAAGATGAACAAAACAGAATAGGGTACAATCCAGCTACAAAATTATTCAAGACTACTATTTGTGAAAAATTGAAGCCCTATGTGTTTATAGCTTCTGATTAGATGAAAAGAAAGGGCATTTCTCATAATAATATATTAAAATTTATAATAAAATCTAAGAAATATCCTGTAAAGGGGATTAAAAAAATCTTGGTCTGATTCTACACTCTTTTAGACTCCTTGATATTTCAATCTTAGCCCTAAAGAGGCAAAAGAGTAGTAACTTTACCAAAATTCTGCTTTCTTCCTGGTATGCATCCACATATCACAAATCAATTATATATCTTAAATAAATGGTTTCTCTAGACCTTTATTCCTTTGTCTATAAAATAATATCTTAAGATCTGTCTTCTAAAATTATAGGATCCTTTTACCTGCTTGTCTGACATAATTGACTTGAACTTTGGGAGAAAAAAATGATTTAAAAAACTCTTCCACGTTGTAGTCCTTCTGACCATTCTTACTCCTGAGGTTCTCCACTAACTTATAGGATTCCAAGTTGAAGGGAAATTAATTCTAATTGAAACTGCTTTTCTATGTCAATCTGCAGTTGTTCAGAGATTTCCTTATAAATGCAAACAGTGGGGGCAGTTTTGTTAAGCAGGAAAATACATGAGTGGGGTGGAAAGGGAAAAAAGGCCAGAAAAGTCCACTAAAAAGACCCAGAATTAATCAATAAAAGCTCAAAAATCCAGGAGCAACTATGTTTGAATATTCCCCAGATAAAGAAGGGTACCTCAGCATAGCCCATGTCTTTATTGTGTTAATCATGCAGACCCAGCTTATTTTTTAACTTTACCTATATGCTGTTTTTTTTCCTCCTCCAGCCCTAATCAAGTAGTTTGCAACCAAGGCAACTAATTTAGTTGCAGGCCTCCCTGTGAACAATATAGTAAAGACAGGAAGGATTCTATCTTAAAGATTGCATTTTAATACCCAGGAAGTTGAGAAGTAAGATTCTTAAGTCAGCTAACAGACAATAACTCAGCCCATCTTGGGGGCTGGGCAGGCGGTCTTGTTTGATATGCTCCTAGGCCAAGACTGCCTGGTATCCCAGGGAGAAATCAGAGCAGGAAGTTCCTTGTGTTAAGTTAACTCTAAGTATTCAAAGAGCACTTCACAGGTCTGTATCCTCAGGCCTTAGTCACATTCCTAAAGAATCTTTGAACAGGGGAACCCCCCAACCTTTCGGGGCACTCCTCTGACCAAGGTTGCCCATACTTTCTAAGTGTATAAACTTTTAATCTTAAACTCTCTCTCTCCAACCTTTCAGGGGGCCTCTCCTTGCTTAGGTGGCCTGTACTTTTTCTCTCTTTAAGTAACTTTAAATAAAACTTTTATTCTGCTTCACTACTGTGTTGCAGCGGGGCAAGGACCCAGGAAAATACACAACACTCCCTCAACAGTTTTATGGCTTTAACTGAATGACTGAATATTTAGTTCTCAGAACAATATTTAATGTTGGCACTGTAACTGAAATATACATATA